TTGTTGAGTAGGTATCTCTATGCGATAAGAATTCAAGGTTTTCGCTACGTTGATAAACTTGGTCATGCACGCGCATTCATATTGGCAACAACCCACTATTATGCAACCCGTGCTTAGAGGGAGTATTCCGTGAAACTGTAGTATTGTAGCACACACATATTTTATTCTACCTGAATATTTTTTTATATCACTATTCTGCACTATACGGTCTATACCGGTCGGATACGCTCAGTTATCATCAAGCGACGCGTCACCGTCAGTTTTACGAATGAAGCTTGCATCTCCACAAGAACAAGTAAATACTAAACGTCACAAAGAGTTGAATTATAATATGTTTCTGTATCGTACCTGATAAGATGGATTTTATTAAATATTTCAGTTTCAAGTGGAGACACTATACATCGCAGGAGTCTCTCGATATGATTTCTCTATGCCCTATCTGTCAGCAGAAGTCCCGACGTTGGAGACCAGTTCCATTGATCTGTTGAAGAGATCTGTAGAAGTGCACGTTCCGGACCGTGTCGTACGGCCTCAGTTTAGCTATTTCAGACATATCCAGCGCGAGCAAGATCAGATCCGCGGCGGCGCCCTAACATCGCCACCAGAACCTGCTGGGCCGATATCAGTCACGGTCTACATAGACAGGTGGTTCCAGGTGGATTGATACAGGATACAGAGCCCAGCTGGTGACATTACCGTATATGCGTCTGATTCGAGTTCACAAGTAGATGGATCAAGCAGTGAACCCAGCCTTAGCTGGACAATTGCCAGCACCGACAGTATAGTTCACATCCCTAATGGTATGAATGGTGAGGAGGATTATGTAAGTTTAGTTAAATTATAATTTTTTATTGAGTGATCTTAAATAAATTGGTTTCCACGCAGTCCAGTGTTTTAGATGCATTGTGTTATATTGTGCGACATTGATGAACGATCAGGATCAACGTTGGGTTAGGGCCTCAGCAGTGATCAAAGAGCATTAGGCATGTGTTTTCTACGCCTCACTCGCGTTCGACAGGACGTGAGGACAGGTCATCCTCATATTGGCACGGGTCGACTCGACGTCGAACGGCCACGTGATCGATGACGCGGGCACTTCGCATCGCGTGGCAGCCTCGTACTACGCATGCCGATTGGAATGCGGCACCCTCGCAGCTTCATACACTAGCAGAATACTAGATGTGAGCTCTCGATCAGCAGGAACCCAGGGGGCGGGGAAAGAGCAGAGAGGGGGGGACAGAAGAGCGGAGAAGGAGGGAGCATATATTGTGTGCTATTTAAACTTATTTGTTAAAAATTTGTAAGAGTTGTGCTAGGGCACACACCCCAAACCACAGCCTCATCCACACCTCCACCTCTCAATCTCGCTACAGTACTCGGCCACATGCCGGGGGGTTTTTTAAAACTTTAAAAACTCATGTGGGGCCCGGAGTACTGTAGCGAATGAGAGGGGAGGTGTGGTTGGAGGTGTGACTTGGGGTGTGCCCCTAACATTTCTAAATTTGTAACTTTCCTGAATTTTCAAATACTAAACTTTTAAAGATAAATTATTGTTCATATACATAATCGTGTGTGTTTAATTCATGGTTGAATCATGTATATTTTGTTGTTTGCAAATAAATTGGCATGTATATGAGTTATAATTCATGGTTGAATCATGTATACATTATTGTTTGCAAATAAATTGACATATATATGAGTTAACAGGTACATATACAAAACATGCACAGCAGGCTGTGCATTTCTGTGTATGAGCTGCAACTTCACGGGAGTTGAACTCCCGTGAAGTTGCAGTCCCAATTTCCCAGAGATCGGGTCTCTGGGAATTTTCGACTGTAACTCCACGAGAGTTGAACTCCCGTGGAGTTTTAAGCAGAAATTAAACTTCACGGGAGTTCAACTCCCGTGAAGTTTAATTTCTCGATAAACTTCACGGGAGTTCAACTCCCGTGATGTTTCGGAAAATTATTTACAAAAACCGATCTGTTTTCAGCGCTGGGCTGAAAACATGTCGGTTTTTGTAAATATTTTCAAAAGGGGTCGTTTTTTGCAAATAAAAACTTAAAGAGGGTGGTTTTGAAAATTTGTCCTAAAGACTTTCTTTCTCCTTTAAAATGCAGAGTACTAAATGAGATACGAGACTGCATTCATCACTTCCTTTGGAGTAGTGAGGAGGACTTTCCACACTCAACTATAATTGACATGTTAATGTCAAATTTTAACCCTCAAATAGTTACACACAAATAGTAAACAAATGAACTCTTTGAATTTTCATGTGCACTACCAGATTCAAATTTCATACAGTAAGAAGAAACAAGATTTTAACTAAAACACGCACATATTTTCATATGAATTTAATTCCTGAGACCAAAACAAATTTCGACGCCAATAATTTACATACAATAAAAGAAGCTCCCTCTAGCGATCAAAAAGAAAACTATTCAAACAGTGTAGATAGCGAACGGCCTTTCTTCCCCTTTTCTGTATTTGTATTAGAATTCCTCTGGTGAATGCGCTCACCCTTAAATTCATCAACAACAGCATTAACCTTGTAAGTGGGCATTAGAGGTTCTCTATTCTTCCTCCTCCTAGCATTCTGATTCTTCCAATGAACAGGCTCATCTTTTGATGCATAAATGCTTGTATTCTGATTATTTTGACGGATAACCTCACCATTTGATTTGTGTGTTCCAGGATTTTGATCCTCTTGCAAAGCTCGCTCACTGTTCAGTGTATCGAAAATTACCTTTCCAAGGACAAACCTGGTTTCATCTGGATCCCCTCTCTTCAGCAGATCGTAGTTAATACAAAAAGAGCTCCTTTCTTTGGCGTAACAATGTATATCACTTTCTAAACCATCAAACACTCTGAGGACATTTCTTGCAGCTCTCTCTGGAACAAATATCAGGTGATCCTAGACATATACAAAATAAAAGTCCTTGTTAGATGACATGGTGAACACAGTATTATTTTCTCTTCTTGCTTTCTTGTCAGTAAAAGAGAAGTTAAAGGGCATATTGCGTACAAAACTTCAAACATGATACCTCAGAGAAACTAGAGATAGAGAAACACACAAACACAATATGAGACTCATTAGGTTTGGATGTGTGCTTCAAAGTACAAATATAAACGTTATGTACACTATCCATACATAATCGAGAATAAATTATACGCACTAATGGGAAGCCATATGTCATTACTGACCAAATTTCTAACATAAATTCCAAAATTAGTTTAACTTTGCTGCTCGAAAACCATAAGGTAAAAGGTGAAACTTGCAAGAACGACCTGAAAAGCAATGGTCGTCGTTTATAACATTTAGATTCTCCAGATAGAAAGCTCCAACTTTTCTAGCCAAGGTTCAATGTTTAGAATATATGAAGGGAACTCAATTGGAAGTCTAAACCTGCTAATGCCTGAGTCCATCAAGTTCCAGAGACTATGAAAGCTAGGCCTTTTTGCATCAAAATTAGGGTAAATTCAAATTCAAAATAATTTCAAAAAAGAAGTTACTTAAGCAACTCAAAGTTGAAATAACTTCAAGGTCAGACAGTGGAAGGTTTATCTTGTTTGCCACACAATGAGAATGTGGACCACCAAAATTAACCTAGACTGAGAAAAATTCTAGCCAAAGAGATGACATGAAAACAAATCTTCCTCCCTCCTAAGTCGATAAAAAAAGAACTGCTTTTCAGTATATAGTATTATTTTTCACATGACTAGCATTGAATTCATTCATATATTAGCCAGAGAGAGCATTACCTAACATGAGCTGCTCAGCATCCTACGATAGGTTTGATAAATCATAATTGTATATGAAGGAAATGATCAAACTCAATAAAGTGTATATACAATGTGTAATACAACCTACTGACGGTGAAAATAAATAACAAATTTAAAAAAAACTTTTGTTATCAAAAGCTAAGATAAGTGCAAACTGTTAACATTTACCAGATTTGATGATGGCAAAGTTGTCTTGTATTTGACCAGTGATTCCTGGAGAGCTTCTGGGTCAACCAAAGCACTAACTGAAGTCTTAAGCAGTGATGCCAACTGAGATGTCTGTTCCAGAAGCGATTCATCTGATTTAGTTCCAGAAGCCTCTTCAATTTCAGGAACGAACTGAACATGTCTCTTAACATTTTCTCTGACAAACTTTATGCCTCTATCCCAAGTTCCAAGATAGAGAACAGAGGCAAAAGTCGAAATGACAATAGCTTCTTGGGGCTGATTAACTAATGCCAAGTGAAATGCCAACAAGCCTAGCCTGTTTTGACATGGAAATCGTCAGGTAAAGGTGGAACATGCATTTCTAATTCTGATCACAGAAGTAAATATGGAAACAGACAGCTTTACCATCAGATTCTAAGTAAGAAAGTTGACAAGTCATAAATGATATACAAGAAACTATAAGAAAGACAGAAGTAAAGAAAAAACACGTATATCCTGCAAACAAATCTCTGCACCTATCAAATAAGCCGATTGCACTCACTTGCAAGTTGCATTCATATGGAGGGAAAACAAAGTGAAGTCCAAGCAATCAACCAGCAGAGAGCCTTCACGCACTTGATAAAGAGATTCAAGTTTATTGTTACAAGCTAAACAAAGAAATTGCCTACAGGTAGCCATTTACTGCCTGGCAACATAATTACCTTGTTCAAGTTGATGAACAAAAGCAAAAATAGGAAGTTATGGTCCCTTACAGGAAAAGGAAAAGTGAAATAAATGAGATGGGATGCCTATAGAAGCAACTTTCAAAGGCTTTGTTCTCCCCGGCAATCTCCAAATCCCAGGAAACAGTTAAATACTCCATGGTTAACACAAAGGGTGAGAAAGATGACCCTTACCTTAATGGTTAATTGCTTATTAATGAGAGAAAAGAGACAAACTTAATCGGATTGATGTTCCTAATCAGACAACCTTCACAAAAGCCTGATTGGTCTGCTATTGCAGTCTTTTTGTTAATGAATTTAAGGGAACATTCTACTAAATATGAGGGATATGCTTGCTTGAAAATAGATCTTCAATGTACGAGTCTCTCCGAAACTCAGAGAGGAAGCATTAATAAGTGGACATATGCTAGCCCATTTTCGGTACTGAATATAGGACCTCGCCTCCTCAATTCCACTTATTCCTCCATTCTAAGCAAAGTCCAAATAGATAAAGGTTTCAGAGCCCACTAATTTCTTACAGAGCACCTGGTCAAAGTATGGATGAATTGGAATTATAAAGTTCGAGTAAACAATTCCTGTTTCTTTCTGATCAATATGCCATCAGTCACCTGACTGCAATTCTGTCTGAGAAACTTCTCCAAATGATTAGTGGTTTTTGATTTCATGGAGTTTAAGGAATTTTATGATCCTTCAAGTCCCAACCGCTCCCCAAATGAAAATTCAAAGTTATCTGGCATTCATTCTCATCTAACCTTAGAAACTTTGTAGCCCATTGCTTTACTTCAGGACAACCATCTTTTGGAACAATTCAATGTAACCTTGACCAAATAAACTGATAGGATTAGGCACTCTGTTTAATTGAAAAAAACAAAGGTTAGTAATCTCAAGAAAACATTTGGCTGAAAATGATACCCATAAAGTTCATTTATGCTTTCAAACATAAAGATGATTTCATAAGCTAAAAAGTCGAGGCTAATCAATAGTCAAGATTGATGAAATGATAAAGAAAGTCATAATAGCTGAATAGTTATCCAGACCACGATTCAAGTTACTATACAAGAGCACAGAATCTGGGGCATTATTGCTTAAACTCAATTTCAGGGCAACTGCAGTACAAGCCATGTCCTCCACTCTTAAAAGTGTGTGAATGTGTATATTAGATGCAAGGAAACAAAATACAAGGTAGCATGTTTTTCTTACCATAGGCTGCAGTCAGATGGGTGGTCAGCAGCAAGTAGTTTGTCAACATGGGAAAATAGTTTCTGCAGGATTACAAAACATACAGGATCAGAGAGAAAGTAATGGGAAAACACATCTTTTAAACTGTTAGGATATGTGAAGCCTAACTATCAGGCGTGCCCTACACTTCAGAATGAAGAGGAACAAAGTTGGATACAGGTCCGCTACCACTTCATAAGATCAGCGTTGGACGAGGACATGTTGAAACTTGTGAAGATTCAAGGAAACAAGAACCCAGCTGATATGCTTACCAAGGTTGTCACTACAGAGAAACTGAAGTTGTGCTCAACTTCAGTTGGCCTCAGCACTTGATGATACGGAGGCCGTCGCCGCAGAGAGAGCTGAAAGAGATTGATAGTTAGTCTCCAAGTGGGAGATTGTTAGGATATGTGAAGCCTAACTATCAGACATGCCATATACTTCAGAATGAAGAGGAACAAAGTGGAACAGGAGGAACAGGATCGACGACGACGAAGTTCAAGCATGGCGCGGCGGTCGACCGACGACGTGCACAGACAGGCACTAGGGTGAGGAGCAGCTCGCGGTCGACCGAGCATGGCGCTGCGGTCGACCGCTCAAAGTCCAGAGAGCTACCCAGTTTTTCAGTCTTCGTCGCGGTCGACCGAAGGTGGCGCAGCGGTCGACCGCCCAAAGTCCAGAGAGCCAGGCAGATTTCGAACAGCATCGCGGTCGACCGGATGTGGTGCGGCGGTCGACCGGGGGCGGGGTTTGGCCCAGTTTCGAATTTTGACCTGTTTTGATCTGTTTCATTTTTTACTTGTTAAACCCTTAAGTCTATAAAAGGGTTGATTAGGGCATGATGTATTAAGACGAAAAATAGTGAATTTTTCTCCTGCGGCGGCCGTGGACGTAGTTTCTCACATTGAGAAGCGAACCACGTAAATCTTGTGTTTTTGAGATTGTTTGATTTTCTCTCTTCTCTCCTAAATCTCTATTTCCAAATCGCATCAGGGGGTTGTGCATCCCCAACAAGTAAGTACACCTACAGATATTCCTAGATTATAAAATGTTTCAAAGCAATTGCATGAAATCCTGACTAAGACCAGAAATATTAAAAAAAAAACTTCAAAATTGTGATGAATCTTAAAAATTCAGGATAAATATAGCAACACGCTTAGGTGTCAATGAAACAAACTAGATCCGTTTTCTTTACACAGGTCTCTGTTTCCTATGGTCCCATTTGCTGCCCACATTAAATATAGTCAAGATCCCCACTTGAATGTGGCTCTTGCTGCCAATGAAAAGCTCATACAATCGTAGTCCACACATACTAAATAAATATAGGAAGGAGCAAACAAATGAATGCACACATAAGTAGCATATCTACTCCTATTGCTTTTAAATTGGAGATTGAAATGATTCCTTGTAGGTAGCAAACCTAAATAATTGTAAACATACGTACGACTCCTTAACTAAATTAATTACGCGCAAGATTTTTTGTGTGCGACAGTGACTCCTGCAGACATAAGCAGTGACGCACTAAGCCAAGAATAGGATACAGAATACTAGGGAGATGGATAAATTGAGCAGGGGAATCATTCGACTACCACAAAAATGTTTATTTTATGAAGCTCAAGGATCAATATTCCCCCATTGAATCATCAACAGATAATAATATAAAAAATTCATCGAGGGGGAACATAGAGATGTATAGTAAGTGCATCATATCCGAAGGGTAACTCGTAGGTGGAACCTCGTCTACGTAGATCAGGCTAAATTAAGATGGATGATGATCTATCAAAAATCTTGGAGTAAAAGGAATAAAGATGAAAGTTTCCCTCCCCTTTAGTGCTTAATCCTAAGTTCCCCACACACACGCGGGTCAAAAGAAGTGGAGGATGCTAGAGAATGCTAGGATTCGTTCTAGCTCCGTGTAGTTGATAGACACATGTGTATACTTCAAACTCCGTAGAAATAGCACTTGTCAATATTTGAGTGGACCTGATGTTATCGTATTGTTTTCAAAATTTCACCCTAAAAGTTAAGTGTGATGGAGTCATGCATAGGAATGATACCAAAGTCGTAGATGTAGCTGTCATGTTCCTTCTCATCCATTTGGAATTTTAGGACCACCATCTTGTTGAAGCTAATCCGAAAATTTTCAATTGGGCTATAGTTAGAAGTTAGTTACATTTATTATAAGAGTTTGTTCTTATTAAGAATTAGTCCATACAGTTTAAACTAAGGCTTTGAGTAGTTCATCTTTCTGAGTCATTATTATATTAGAACTATTGGCAGATTAATTTTGTAAGCCTATAAAAAGGCTCCTCCCTGTACCCGTGAATAAGGACAGAGAACAAATTACATTTCTTTGCTATCTCTTTTCTCCACATACTTTACTATTATTTAGTAGTGTTTGATCCAACAGTGGTATCAGAGTCATGAATAATTTGAGCAGGACGATGCCGCCTTCTATTCCCATGTTGGATGTGTGAACGTGGAGGGGCCACACCCACGAGCGGAGGCAAAGCCCAGGTGCGGACCACCCAAGACAACAGCCAGACGCGAGACCGAGACGCAAGTAGCAGCAGGGTTTCCAGGCTCTCTCCTATAAATAGAAGTTTATTCTTCTAGGGTTTTGAGACGTGGGAGAAAAAAATACAGTGGTTTTTTTTTTGGCTGCTGAGGAGAAAATATAAGGCTTTTGGTGGCTATCAAAAGGAGAGTTTTTTCAGATCTAGATCTGAGATCAAGAGGAGAGATTTTACAAGAGAGAGGTCAATTTCTTTTGGGTAAAAAAATCAAATCTTCTTCTTTTGAGACGAGCTTGTGAATTGTACAAGTCGTCGGTGTTCTCCTCATAGTGGAATCTCCCATCACCCCTCTCGTGGGCATAGGCAAGTTTGCCGAACCACGTAAATCTCGTGTCTATATTATTTTCTGGGTGTTGGCTATTGCCTGTAGGTTCCCTCGACAAGTCAATCCTAGAACTGATGAGAGGAATAGTGTATACTTCACTTTATTGAGATATTTTATTTTTTATTCTTGTTTCCTTTGTGAAACAAGATTACAAAGGTTGACTTGAGCTCTTATGAAAATAAAAGTCAAGGCTTTTTCTCGGGTTATATCGCTTCGGCGGTATGAGGGCGTGACTCTGCGCCCAACAGGATGTGATAAATTATCACCGGTGGAGAGTGTAGATGAAGTTATTATTCGAATATCAAGATATATTTGGTGTCATAGAGAACGAAGTTGTCGATCTCGTAGAGAGAGCGAGTGAAACAGGGAAGAAAACCCATGGAGAGAACAAGAAGAAGGATCGAAATACGTTATTCTACATCCTTCAAGGACACAAAGCAAGAGTATGATATTTTAGAGACATCGTACCATGGAGTTGAAAAGGTAAAAAAAAAGTTAGACTTTGTTAAGGATTATTATAGAGATCTATTAAATTAGGAATAATATATTATCCCTAATTTAATGGATCTTCCTATAATTACTCCTTAACACTCCCCCTCAAGTTGGAGCATGTATGATATATATGTCCAGCTTGTTTATAAATAAAGTGCACACACTCCACTGATCAAATGATCACTGGAGGATTCAACAATAAATTATCGTTCCTTTTATAGACGGTCAAAATGTATTTTCACTAAGCATCCAAGAAGTGAACGCCCATGAGCTAAACACTTCGAATGGGTCCAAAGTCAAGCCCACAACAAGCTGCAACAAATGTCGCCTGACGAATGAAGCGAACATCGCAAAACAACCTATGTCAACTCGACTCGACCAAGTCAAACACGAGTCAACATGTCCCAGACCGAGTCAAAAAGGGTTATTAATCGACCACACCTAGATTCGAATTCTGTGATAAATTTGAACTCATGAAGCGAAGCTCACCAGGAAACCCATGTCGACTCGACTCGACCAAATCAAATATGAGTTGACTCCCATGCCGAGTCGAAAGACGTCATCAGTCGGCCAAAGCCTAGAGTCGAATTTTGTGTCAAATTCGAACTCATAGGAGAAGCTCGCCAACCAATAAACTCCGCCCACATCAACAAGAGTGGACCAAGTTATCCAATTCTGAAGAAGGCTAGCCCACGTCTGCAGCGGCCCTCATCCACAACTCTAGTGAACTTTGCCCCCGATCATGGCGACCTTCGTCCACGTCTTCAGCGAACTTCGCCAAGTCCGCGAAATTCACCTAGTTAGCCGTTCCAAAGCTATTCTCAGGAGATAACTGTTTCCCACTAACTCCTACTTTAATGGTCACTTAATTCATAATTAAACAGACCATTAACTCTCTCTTTTAGTCTATAAAAGGAGAGGAAAGCATCCACAACACAAGGCATGAAGGAGATACACAAGGGCGGATGCAGAGATACGTACATGCACGAAAAGGCATACATTTACGATTCCGTTGAGAGATATTGCTAAGAGAAAACTGAGCTAGCTTCCAAGCAATTCAATCATCATCAACAGTAAAAAAAACTCATCGTCTTAGTCGGCGAGTCAACAGAGTACAAAATCGACGCTCCACTGGCACACGGAAAAGAACCCCAGGAAAAGTAAATTTTTTTCTTCATTTTATTGCATTTCTTTTAATTGTAATCTGTGTTGATTATAATTAAAAAGGACCTAAAATATCTTTTGGATCAAACAACAAATGATCTTTTCAAGATCCAACAATGAAATGATCTTTTTTTTTAAAGAATGCAACAATAAACGATCCTTCTATAAGAACCTAACAAACAAATTATCCAAAAGTTGGAGTTGAGTTTGGGCTAGGGGAAAGATCGACAAGGAGGCAAAGGTCAATGACGAGGACGAGATTGAATCATAAAGATATATGCAAGATCAATCATCGAAGGTGAGGATTTAGGACATGAAGGTGATCGAAGGCTCGGAAAATAATAACACAAGGCCAACAGTACTGCAGATGAATAGTAGCCCAAACAACATTTGTCGTGAATCATTTTTCACTAATGAATAGTGCTGATGAGAAATACTTTCGCCTCCAGATCTACAAAGTTCTAGTAGATTAAGCTAAATGATTAGCTTGTTTAAGATTCATAAACATCTATTAGATTAAGCCAAATGCTTAGCTTAAAAGAGCAAAACTTCGGCCGGATGAACATTGCTCTTTGGTGAACAGTACCCGTGGTGACGAACAATGCTACAAGAATGAACAGTACCATGGTTATTGAATAGTGTGTGGGCGATGAGAGAGTTTATGTAGTTGAGGTCAGTGTCGAAGCAGCTGAGGGGAAGCACAAAGTGCAGCAAAAACCCCTCGGTGACCGCTAGATCGTGGAGGAGGAAGGAGGTATTTCTAGTTTCAATAACTTAGCGCTGATACCATGTAGAGAAATAGAAAAAGGCTACAATTATCAAGATACTATCCATCTAGCCCTAACATCTCTTAAATACAAGTTAGAAGGATCTTACAATATATGTAAGATATAAAATCATATTCAATCACATCATGGATATCTCTCAATCACACATTCATAAAATACATTATTCCCAATTTAATAGATATGTATAATATTTCGTAACAGACTTCAAACCTTGAGACACCAATTTGAAATTTTACACATGGAATATGAAAGTCTCGCAGAATATGTGGCTTGAGTACTTGCTTTGACAAATCAAATAAAAATAAATAGGAAGAATGTTACAGATATAGTAATTGTAAAAAATATATTGCGATCTCTTGCAAATTTATCATATTGTGGTGACAATTGAACAATCAAAGGATTTGTCTAAGATGACAGTTGATGAGTTGATGGGTACCCTAAAAGTTCACAAGCAATGCATGAACGAGAGGTCAACCGAGAAGCCTCTTGAGAAAGCTTTCTAAAGTCAAGCTTCCATCAAAGATAACAAATGACTTATTTTCTCGGCATTAAGAAGTAGTTCAAAGCAATGATGATATTTTCATATGTTAAAAGAGGCATTGTGCAGAGTTGTTGAAAAATTTTCGGATACTTGATTGCAATCCTGTTAAAACTCCCATGGAGGTTAAGACTAAATTATCTCGAGAAGGTGATGATGCACAAGTTGATCCTACTTAATTTTAAGTAAATTATTGGGAGTTTGAGATATCTTACATGTACAAGGCTAGACATAGCTTATGGTGTTGGTCTAATCAGCAGATATTTTGAGGCCCCTTGTAAATCTCATCTTCAAATTGTAAAGAGAATTATGTGGTACCTAAAGAAAACTTATGATCGTGGTTTGTTTTATTCTTCATCTAATACTTGATATATTATAGGCTATTCTGATAGTGATTGTAATAGAGATCATGATGATCATAAAAGCACTTCTGGCTATATTTTCAATTTTGGCTCTGTCGCATTTTTTTGGTCGCCGTAGATGCAATCCATTGTTGCCTTCTCAACTTCTGAAGCGGAGTATGTAGCAGCGGCATCGAGTGGTTGTCAAGTAATTTGGTTGCGTAATATGCTAAGACAAATTCGTGTTCAAGTGGGAGGCCCAACAACAATCTATGTTGACAACATATTGGTAATTGATTTGGCAAAGAATGCAGTCACTCATGGGAAAAGCAAGCATATTCATACTCGTTACTACTTTCTACAATATAGTGTTGGTAAGAATGAGATCGTGTTGATGTATTGCAAGTCTGGGGATCAAGTTGCTAATATCCTCATGAAACCCTTGAAGTTCGAAGCATTTGTCAAGTTAAAATATATGGTGGGAATGTCAATTTTATCGAATTCGGATTAATAGGGGTTGTTTAAGCTAACCCGAATTTCAATTGGGCCATCATTAGTAGTTAGTTATGTTGTGCGTGGCGGAAGCAGGACAAACAAACGGGCGTGCTTCGAGAACCAAATCAAAACAAACGTCGAGATAAAGGCCAAACAAATCAAAACAACGGTACAAATCCAAACACAATAGTTTAACGTGGTTCGGCAATTGCCTACGTCCACGGGGCAAGAAGGGGATGTGATTTTCACTAATAGAGAAGAAGAGTACAAACTGAGATTACAATACGCTCAAACCAATCAACTAATCTCACCAACAAATCTCTTAATCTCTCCAAATAAACCCTCAAACAATAGCTCAGAAAACTCTCCTTTTTCTGTGCTCCAATATCCCCAAATCAATCTCCAATCAAAGCCTAAACAAAGCCAAAGAAACCCTAAAAAATGTGTCTCTATTTATAATAAAACACAATTCCAAACTGATTGGGATTCTAAAAATGAGTCTGTCACACCCTGGTGTGGCAGACACCACACCCATAATAGACAGGGCAGATTCTGCCACACCAGGGTGTGGCAGACACCATACCCATAATAGACAGGGCAGATTCTGCCACACCCATGGCAGACACCACACCAGGATGTGGTGGAGTCTGTTTTGCTTATTCTTCACGTTTTCTCAATTTCTTCCTCAATTCCTTCGCCGTTTTCACAATTCTCCACCTCTGCGAAGTTTTTTCAAAACTGAGCCGACACCAACCAAACCAAATGTCCCACTTGTTACGTTCAGGACGTCGTGGAAACCCTTCACGACAACAGACTCAAACCACAACAAGTCGAGACCCAAAATGAGAATGCGAACACTCTCCAAATGTCGATGTTTACTCACCAAATCGGCTGCATCAAAACTGACTGCCTACGTATCCTCTTGTCCAATGAATCAAGCATTCACGTAGTTCACCCAAACGGCCTTCAAAGTCCCTCAAACAAATAAAAGAGCACGCAACCCTCCTCCATCATCACCAAATCTGCGACTGATAGCACCTCCAATGACCTCAAACTGAAACGATCCAAACACCTCCACCTGAGGTGAACCAATGGCCATGTCTAAACTACGCCTATCAGCTGCACTCAAATCAATCAACACGTCATCTACATCCAAAACCAAATGATCTTTATGCTGTGTCACCTCAGCTGAAGTCCCAAATAATACAGAATGACCTGGAGTATGTGGAGTAAACTCCACCTAATGTGGAGTAGCATCATCCTCCACCCGCTGCGATATCCAACTGATCTGATCAACACTCTCTACCTACCGAGAGTCCAATGTGACATACCTGCTCAGAACGAAATCAAAAGCTCTCAAACAATAATCAAACGAGCCTCCGAATCCCAAACGTGCAATCAGATCAAATCTCACATCCTCGATGTGACCAAATGCTGGATAACCAAATATTCGACGCCAACCAAAATCTGAAGCAGCTCCACCAGATCCAATAACTCCTAATGCAGCAGTCGGTGACCTATGCATAAGATGACCCAAATATGTCGAAGCCCGAACTCCAAAACCAATGCTCGACATCAAACGCCGATTCTCCTCCAGAAAGAAACGACCAATCAAAAATATCATCTCATCTCGTCGCTCCAACGTTTCCTCTCCAATGAAGTGTCTCAAACTGCCATGAGCTCGGCACAAATATAGTAGGTCCCTCTTGTACCTCCCTCTAAAACCAGAATGAAGTACCTTCACCTTACTGCCAATACACTTATAGTAGGTCCCTCTTGTACCTCCCTCTAAAACCAGAATGAAGTACCTTCACCTTACTGCCAATACACTTCTTCAACTGTTGTTGACTACTAGGACTTCTGCCAATACACTTCTTCAACTGTTGTTGACTACTAGGACTTCAAAACCAACGGGACTTGGTTGCAACCTACAAATGCCTAGTGCAATCTCCAACAAAGTAAACCAAAATACCAATTACCTTCCAATGATACCTCCTTGGAAGGCTCCCAAATGCCTGAATGAACACCAAATAGAAGACCCCTCAATCATCGAATAGAAGTGCCAAACTCCACCTAGGTCTCCTTGCTCATACCAACGTGCTCAAAGGACTTTAATATGCAGGTTAAGGGCACTTCTCAATCATCCAATGCACCGTATCAACAATCAAATATCCCAGCCTCAAATCCTTCTATCTCGACCAACTATTTCAAAGCACCAACAAATGAAGAATAGATCCAAACTGATAAAGGAGAGAATTTTACCTCCAATTGAAACCCTAACAAGAGTCTCCAAACGATCTCACGATCCACAAATAGAAAAAATCCAACATTTATCTCCAAACGAAGCACTAGACGAACTTCCAAAGCGATATACTCCTCCAAATAGCCCAAGCGTCAACAAACCAATGCGGAACAAACGAAGAATAGATCCAAACTAAAAAAGATAGAGTTTTTACCAAAAAGATCCCACATTTATCACCAAACGAAGCCCTAGACGAGCCTCCAAATTGATCTACTCATCCAAATAGCCCAAGTGTAGCCCGAGCTCTGATACCAATTGTTGTGCGCGGTCAAAAGCGGGACAAACAAACGGGCGTGCTTCAAGAACCAAATCAAAACAAACGTCGAGATAAAGGCCAAACAAATCAAAACAACGGCACAAATCCAAACACAATAGTTTAACGTGGTTCGGCAATTGCCTACGTCCACGGGACAAGAAGGGGATGGGGTTTTCACTAATAGAGAAGAAGAGTACAAACTGAGATTACAATACGCTCAAACCAATCAACTAATCTCACCAACAAATCTCTTAATCTCTCCAAATAAACCCTCAAACAATAGCTCAGAAAACTCTCCTTTTTCTGTGCTCCAATATCCCCAAACTAATCTCCAATCAAAGCCCAAACAAAGCCAAAGAAACCCTAAAAAATGTGTCTCTATTTATAACAAAGCACAATCCCAAACTAATTGGGATTCTAAAAACGAGTCTGCCACACCCTGGTGTGGCACACACCATACCCATGAAAAACAGAGCAAATTCTGCCACACCAGAGTGTTACAGATACCACACCCATGACAGACAGGGCAGATTCTGCCACACCCATGGTAGACACCACACCAAGGTGTGGTGAAGCCTGTTTTGCTTATTCTTCACGTTTTCTCAATTTTTTCCTCAATTCCTTCGCCGTTTTCACGTGTTACATTTTAAATAGTTTGTTTTTATTAAGAATTAGTTCTACTTATCTGTAGGTTTTGAATAATTTGTCTTTAGAGTCATTATTATATTAGAACTCTTGATAGATTAATTTTGTAAGCCTATAAAAAGGCACTTCCACGTTTCCACGTACCCGTGAATAAGGAAGTCCAGAGAATAATCTTACCCTCTTGATAGTCTAATTCAAGCTTAAGCAACACATAGGGGAAATACATCAAAATGGAGAGAGGAAGGGACCTTGAAGGTGATAATTCTATTGCCATTCTCCTTTTAAAATAGACGAAATGTTGGTGATTGGCCTTCATAATCTAAATCATATAAGCAAAAAAAAAAAAAAAAGGATATGAGACAAACTTGACAAGTTCTAAATTATCAAAGATATTTGAATATTCACCAAATAATCGAGGATTCCAAGTACCTAAGAACATGATAATGCCTATACAGAAAAGATTGTGTTCCAAATGCTACATTTTATACAATATATTTCATTTTTAGCTTGCAATAATAATATGATCTCACTAAATTTTCTTAAAATGCATTGAGATAAAGGTTGAACCCGTACGTGTTTTCATATCTCTAGGCTTCCTTTACCTCTTCATTTTTCTCTTGCGAAAATTCGAGCTCAATCAATATAATAGTGATGTAGAATTTGTCGATGTTGTATCCTAAAAATCACCAAGTTCAAATGAGCCCTTAAGAATTGGCCACGTGTCATATTAACATGACGAGTCATATAATTTAAAAGTCCAATCCATGTGTGAGTATCATTGATCTCTCTAAATGGTCCGAGTCCTAGACGAATGATGTCTTCAAGTCATGGCCTATCAAGAAATCTGAGGCCGAGACGAAAGGCATCTTTTGATCGGACTTAGCGAGAGAGTGTCTCGAAAGACGGAATGATCTATCAGTCTCATGGGCACAGTTCGCATTTGATGCATGATTAGTCAGCGACACAAACTTCACCGCCCAATCGCCATCGAATTAAATGTATATCCGAAGTCATTATGACTTCGTGAGTCGAATTCATAATGACTCCTCAGACATCACCCACACTTCCGCCATACTGTCGTTGTCACATAAATGTGAGGCCGGCGTCCCTTCACATTCACCCAACCGGTTGACGATACATGTAAATTGGAGTTAGAACACCGACTATACCAATTGATTCAAATTACCCTTTTGCTCCTATGGATTCTCTATAACTAGTGCTTAAAGTCTTAACCCCACTACACTAAAGTACGCTGGAAAAAAAACTATGAACTAGATTCTATGTTTTAATAGTTGGCTTTATCTATTACTGAATTGTATGTTGAAGGGAACGCCATAGAAAATCTCCTCCACCCCTCTAACGAGTGTTATCTATATAAGGATCTGCTTCCCTCAAATTAATTAGTCATAGGGAGCCTCAACTCCTCTAAATATTCTTCCTTTGCGTAAAATAAACTCTTTACCATATTTGGAATTAATAACCTATCAGCAGAAGATCCGATCGACAACAAGATCTTATTCTACAATGAAATAAAAGACTTAAATTACACAAAGTCCCAAGTTTCACATTGAGATGTAACAAATTATTAAAATTTTCGGAGTGCAATAATCCACCCAACCATATGACAAAATTCACCAACTAAACCGGCAGCCGAAGCGAAATCCACGCGCGCCGAGAGAAAAACAGTAACCGGAGAAGTGACCGTCACGTGCCGGCCACGGTCCCTCTTCCCATGTGAGTTGACAGTGCAAGCCAACACGCGTGGGGAAATTATGTTTGGCTGTGACCGGCCGTAGCCAGTCACCTGAGACACGTGCTTACCGCCTCTTTTTGGGAGCAAGGACCGCTTGAACAGTGAAAACCTACCCCATTTGATGAAGGACTCTCGCTGTGTTTTCCGTGGATGGGGAGAGCCTGGGGTTAGATTCCCAAACATGAAACATCCCCTTCAACTTTTTAAAACTTTCTTGTTGGAGGGGGAAAAGACAAATTACCGTTTTGATGATTCCATGGAGAGGGTCCAGAGGGAGGGGCAAATGCCTATTTTCTAGGCTTATTTGCCCTTCAATACCCCAAAGTTTCGCCCTTTTCAACTTTACTACCTTGAAATTCAATTTTGATAATTTGATACCTTAAAGTTTTTTTTTTCTTTCAAATTAAAGTTGATATTGTAATTTGATACATCAAAGCTGTAACTTTGTTCCTTACTTTCCCAAACCCAAAAGAAATGGATTTGGTAAGAAATTTTGTTCCTCCTCCACTTTTCTATATTGATGATGTTTTTCAACAAAATTAATGTTGTTTTTTTTCTCTCCTTTTGCACTTCGAGATCTCAAATTGTCAAAATAGAACTTTAGGGCATCAACCTTGATAGAAGGGAGAAATCCTGGGCATTAATGAGAAAATTAGATCTATTTTCATATTAATTTGAAGAGTATCCATCCCAAATATGGACAAATTCATCACACTTAGTAGCTATTGCTTTTAGATTAAAACCAGTTTCTAACCTATGTTAAAACCCATTAGCTCAAGATTGAGTCTGATTACTCCCAACAAGTGGTACCAAAATTAAGGTTACGAACTAAGTAAAATATATATATGAATATAATCCCACTTTAGATAAGATAAGAAAGAGATAAGT